GACGAGTTGCAATACCATGCGTTATATCGCCGTGCGATGCAATGTCACGTGTTATATCGCCACGGGTTGCAATAGCATATATTAGATTTCCACGCGTTATATCGCCACGTGGTATATTGCAATGCGTTATATAGCCGTGCGTTGCAATACTATGCGTTAGATTGCCATTAGTTATATCAACACGCATTATATCGCCGCTAGTTGCAAAATCATATGTTAGACTTACCACGCGTTATATCGCCACGCGTTATATTTCCATGTGTTACATCGCCAAGGGTTGCAATATCAAATATAAAGATTACCACGCGTTATATCGCCACGTGTTATATTACCTCGCGTTAAATCACCATGGGTTGCAATATCAAATATTAGATTACCACGCGTTATATCGCCGCGCGTTATATTTCCACGCGTCGCATCACCAAGGGTTGCAATATCAAACATAAAGATTACCACACGTTACATCGCCACGCATTATATTACCTCGCGTTAAATCATCATGGGTTGCAATATCAAATATTATATTACCACGCGTTATATCGCCACGTGTTATATTACCTCGCGTTAAATCACCATGGGTTGCAATATCAAATATAAAGATTACCACACGTTACATCGCCACGCGTTATATCACCTCGCGTTAAATCACCATGGGTTGCAATATCAAATATTAGATTACTACGCGTTATATCGCCCTGTATAACACGTTACGTCAGTTGCAATATCACATATATTTCTACTTGTTATACAGCCTCATGTTAGATCACCGAAGATTGCACTATCATGCGTCAGATCGTCAATGTAATATAATTGTAATATTTTTAATAAAATTATAACACTTTAAGTACCGACAAGGTTATTTTATCAAGAACACGGAAAGTGTTCTGCTCATATGTGATCAGAATATAGATAATCAAAGGGGGAATCGTTTTAATGAAATATATCATTTAATTTTAACGCATTTATTGATTAGTTCATTGAAATACATCTGATTCTCGTGTTCCAGTAGAAATAATAAGGTAGGTACTTTATAAACATTTCAGTTTTATCCGTGTCAGTGGAACCAGCTCGAGATTAAAATTTACAATAAGTTTTGAGCGGCCGAGAGGTTCTCGTTAAATGTTTTTATTAACACGTTATATCCCACAGTGAAAATGAACATGTCTATCATGATACAGAACGTGTACCATTTTACAGTTAAAATTTTTCATTTCCTGTTTAAGTATTTTGAACACTTTGTTTGACTATTTCTTTTTGTTCTGCGACATTCAACGTATTAATTTGTGGTTACAGTATAACATTCGTCTGCTTTTTTAGCAGTTAATAATATTACTTTGATGAGTGCTTGTATTTCAAAAATTTTTAAACGAGAAGCATGGTATCTTGCAATTTAATAAAAGTAATTAGCAAATTAGTACCGTAACGAAGCTTTTAAACCAAATTAAATATTGTGTATTTCGGTAAATAAGTAAATAAAAATGGCAAAAAATGGAGGTAGGAAAATGTTAAGTACACAGCACTCGTCGCAATTACATGTATGTACTAAAAAGAATTAAAAATCAATTTTCTGGAACGAAGTTCATCGTGTCGATTCAAATTACATTTAATAATCAATTACAAAATTAAATATCTATTTTTCCAATATGAACTCCATTCTTTGGTACATTCTGCGTACGTTGAAATACTATAATTATACCAAATAAATCCAGTTTTTCAATCTTGATAATTATTTCTTTTAAACAGTACTGTGAGTTTATAACGCGTTTAATTCCTTGCTGCAATTACTTCCTATCGTAACGATACAATAATACAATATAAACAATCGTTGGATAAAACCTTCAGACACTGTTCAATATCATCCAAACAGCAACAACTGTACAACTCGTTGGAACAACGCATAGCAGTTGTGTTTGCATTTTCTAAAATCCGTAAATCATTCTGACACAGTGTGAAAACATATTAGGCCTGTTTAAAAGAGCTAATTTAGGCCCCAAGTGAAAACGAGTTGTTTGTTGCGTGCTATTTTCATGTACAACCACAAATATTCAGATTCCTCAAATTTTGCTAGCTCCTCAGTGACATACAGTGACTAAATTATCACCTTAGTTTTCCTAGAGTCACTAGATCCTTTGGGATCTTCCGAATTTTCACTAAGGTTCCTAAATTTTAGATTCACAGTTTTTCTTTGGATTCTTAGTGTCTCTAGGAACTAAATCTAAAGATCTAAATGTCATTAGATCTTTAGAGTCCCTAAATTCCCTAGCATCCCTAGAATATTCGAGTATTATAGCAATTGGATCGTTTCTTGTTTCTTAAGAAATATTCTTAACCCCTTGCACTATGTCAGGTGTGTCAGTCAGAACTAATCACGGCTGCAATATTAAGACAAAGAAAGTTGAAATGTTATGTCAATTTGGTATCAATCTATGCAAATAATTGGACTTGAAATCCAAATTGAAGAGTATTAATTCGAATAAAATTGAATACGAAGTACGAGTCACGAGTAAGACTCGTCGAAGCAGCGCAAGGGGTTAAACTTTAACTGTCATTTGACCACTCTGATAGATTTAAGTTAAACAAAATAAATTTATAGATGTAATTTCTCTCGTTTTAAATCTTTCACAATAATTCGTAACGAAAGTGAAAAAATGTGTGCGGTTGATCGATTTTTGGTCAGATGCGTCCACGTTTGGTCTCGAAATATGGCGAATACGCGTTAATCGAGGCGAAACGAGGACTCGAGGCAAGCCGTTCGTTTAGCAAATTTCATAGAAAGAAAATTGTTAGACGCTGAATCAACTTTAGTCCCATTGAAACATTCGGCTAATCTTCGTGACAATAACCCCTTGCATTTTGCTTTGTCAGGTCAGTCAGAATTAATAACAGCTACAATATTAAAACAGACTGAGAAAGTTGGAACTTTATGTCAATTTAAAATGATTTGCGGAATCGGTTAATCATACCGATGGAACTGTATTTTCTACTAATGAAACGCTTTGCTTCTTTATGCGAATTTAACGCTGATTTACGCATGCAAATTTGGGCAAATAAACTGAATCGATAACCGAGCTTCCATGTTCGGTTTAGATTGCGCAACCTTTTAGTTTGCTGGTTAATTTTGTCCGGCTAGGAACTTGTGGAGGTGGTCCGGTAGTTTTTAGCTGCAACCGAGACTGAAAACAATAGAAATTAATCCCCCATTGTAGTTTGTTGCAAACGTGTTGCATACAATAACATAGTAATCCTGTGAAGGTCTTTTATGTCGTTGAACTTAAATACACTGCAGAGTTTAGAATTAATGCAAAATACAGCGACTTTGTAACATTGTACTTTCTTCAAATAAACTTTTCAAAAAACGTATCGATTATTTTCTGACTGTAATTGTGTTTGAAATTTCAAATTGTTATGTAATTAAAATATATTAAAATACATTAAATACATGAAAAATATAATTAATTAAATATATTAAAAATATATAAAATATTATAAAGATATTATAATTGAAAATGTATGATTTTCGGAATCAGGTGCAAACAACCCCTGTTGTCAGATCACAGCACACACTGTAACTACATGTTTTTAAACATTGTACGAGTGCCCAATAACTCGTCGCAGTCAGTATGAAACATTCATAATTGCTGATTTTTTGATACCGCACTTCCCTGCTAATGTAACTACACTGTTACTACCCGCTGAATCAACTTTAGTCCCATTGAAACATTCGGCTAATCTTCATGACAATAACCCCTTACATTATGATTTGTGAGGTCAGTCAGAACTAATCACAGCTACAGTATTAAAACAAAGTTAGTTGAGATGTTATGTCAATTTGGTATCAATTGCTGACTATGCAAATAACTGGACTTAAATTCCACATTAAATATTTGAATAAAATTACAGCTGAAGTACGAGTGAGTCCGAGACTAGTCAAAATAGCGCAAGGGGTTGAATGTCTTGTATCTATTTTTCGTTTCCACGCAGCTAGTTTCTCTGCTTTAAAATACTTTTCACTCGTATCTCACAGTTTCTGTCTTTTTTCGGATCGTTACAAAAGAAGCTTTAGGTTTATTCATTAACATTATATTAATTGGTCATTCAAATTCGTTCGTATGAAAAACTATTACATCGCTTCGAATAAAAAATACTGTGCATCTGTTTTTATCTATTTTTGACCGTTTTTTTTTTCATTATTTCAATATCGTTTTTATAAATATTATATATTAAACTCCACCTGACCTTTTTTATTCTTAATTTACATCAAATTTGATTTTACGAATGGTCACATCAAGTTTCTAGTAGTTCTAACGGTTTCGAAACCATTTTAGGATTGACAGTTACACATCGAGGGGTTGAAACATTGAATAAGTTTAATTAGTACCATAATTTGTACACGCATTCCTCAGTTTTCGTCCTAAACTTGGTGTACGATATATGCGTTACAAATATAGGTTTTTTATGAGGTACATATTTTACTATTTAACTGGGAAGATTCTTTTCTCCGCGCAACCGCGCTTCGAATAAAATTTGTGCAATTGAAAACCGTGAACAAACTTTTTACCGTGCAAATTTTGTTCAAAATAAAATTTCTCTACTATTTCCTTTCTTGCATATTGCATATTACAGTTGCATCGGTTTTGTAAAGACATCCTAAACATATCGAGTGCTTTTCAGTCCTTTTTTGCTCAAAAGTCTATCAATTAAACAATGTTCCTTCTGTTAATATATCTCGTGTATAAATCCATCGTAAACGGAAGTTACTATAGAAAAATATAGAACTTCTTTCATCTGTCTCTGTAAATACAATACTCATCCCAAAACTAGAATTGTTCACTACGCAGTGTACTATCAATTTTTCTCTAACTTCATCTTCTAATTTCACGCAAGTATTAATGTGCCATAACGATGTCCAGTTTTCAATTGAAATTTTTTGCCTTCTCGTTTTAATGTCGGTTAAAAATATTACTCTTACTTTAATTACGATCTACAATTCGCAGTTTGGATCGTTTAGGGAAACGATCATGTCTGACTTAGGAAGCTGTTATTCTTGGTGATCAATCCTGCGCTGCTTTCGGACATTGGTATCACTGCTGACTTCTCTCCCTTTGGTAACTTTGGGTGCGACGTTATGTTTGGTTTTAAACCCTTCAGGATATTCTGAAAATTATACAAATTATTTGTGCTGGAAGATTAATTATTTATCTATTGATTATGAGTAGCATTGTACCCAAATTATACCCAAAAGTAGCCGAACACTCTGTATTTAAGAAAATTGTGGTAACTTAATGTTCAGAAAATACCACAATTATATGTCATTCTACATTGTGGTATTTTACCACAATATTTATTACACTTGTATGTTATTGTAAATTACGAATATAATTTTAAAAGCTTGAGAAATGAAGTTAGAAAGTGTGTTCAATGAACAAGATGATTGGATTTGTTTGTTTCACCTCTTTGATGGATCCTGGAGTGATAATAACGTAATAGAGAGCATAGGCCGGTATCCAAATCATGGATGACAAACTGAGGCAAACTCCCACAATTTCCGCCCATGTTGGGTATTCGTAGTCACTTCCATATTTAAGTGGTTTGTATTGAACGCATTGGAACACGAAGATAAACTGGAAAAAGCAATCGATTGTAAAATATTAATCAACACTAAAACAAGTTTGATAAAATTAATATTCATTCACAATTGATGCGATCAACATTTAAACTTTTACACGATGATCGATTTTACCTGATCTCATTTTTTGAGAGAAACTATAAAAAGGTACGATAAAAGGTATCGATCATACCGTCGAGCAAATGTGCGATACCGGAGACAGAGACAAATGGATACAATTACACTATTTCTCTCAACCGCGGGTAAAAACGATATTGTCAAAATTGATTGATCACCCCGTTATTTGCGCAGCAAGAAAAAATATCGCATCAGCGGTCTTTCAAGATTAATTTCATTACACAGATCGATTTGTTTGCTTTGACGTCGAAAACATAAAAATTGCAAAGATTTAGTACAAATATTTATTTGTTAAATGTTTCGATTAATTAAGCAAAAGATTAATGTTTTAAAGAAACATTTACTGTTTTTGTTTCGGTGAGATTTAATTAATACTCACAGCCATGATTATCGGCGCGAACACCACCCAACATATGTACCAGAATTTATTCAGTCGTATGCCCATCATTTGGTGAATGCAGTCGCAAAATTTCTTCGCGCCGAAGATCCAAGATATTGCGATCGTTTGGAAGAAACAGACCCATAAAATCGACATACCACTCGCCGAATAAAAGTCCATTAACTGGAATATGTACACTCCTCCCTGTAATTTGAAAGCAAAAATAATGTTATAGATCTTTTACTGCATAGTGATCGAGGTAACATATACAGTGACTTGTGGACATCAAAATTGAATAGAAAGTCCCGAACTAGTCTATTTTAGATAAACTTCGATACTAACGTGGGTCACCATAGGAATTCCCAGGAGGAACATTAAAAGACAGATAGCGATGGTGAACTTCTTTCTGTGGGGACGAAGCTGATCTGGCCAGTTGTCCACCATACCAGTGATGAAGGACTCCACTATACAAAATTCGCTGTCGATTCCGAGTATCTGCAAGAAAAATCCTTCTATATCGTTTGATAAAAAAATATGCAAACTATCCGAATCTTATGTACTCTTGCACATTGATTTTTTGCGGGTCAGTATACAAGTTGAAGCTTTACTTGAATTTTCGAGTGAAAAAGGTAGAAAAGTGAAATTAGGTGACAGGTAGTCCTGTTTTAATTTTGTAATAGGTAGTCCTTGTGTTAATTACAAGGTTTTAGTATTTGTACTCACTTAGTACTCATTTTAGTACAAATTTGCTGTAGGTTCACATTTTTTGAACGTACACTGTTTTACATTGCACAATATGAGGTGTCCAATTATAAAGCAATCAATATTTTAGTCAACAGTGATTAAAAACCTCTTATTGCTGGTGTTAGAACTCTAATGTGTTCAATGATATTTTTTACAATGCATCTACGTTTATATCGAAACACAAAATTCCTCGAAAATTACATTTGAGAATTTTCTATAATGTTCCATATATCATATAAAATTATTTTCCTTCAGAGAAAATGTGAAACATAAAAACGTACATTTTCGTAATATAAAATATGAACATGTAAGTAACAAAATTTACAGAATTGCAAATATTTTACTAACACATCATTATACTGATATGTACCGCTATATCGCATTATACATACATATAGCAGTACATCGCTACAAGGATTTAAATTCGAACTAAATGTACATTATCAGATCAGTATTATCGATTACAAAGAAAGCAGAGTACATTCCTTTGATCGAGTTAAATGTTCCTTACGAGCAGCATAACGAAGAAGATAATGGCCCACACCGAGGCGCCAGGTAATTTAAGCACCACTTCCGGATAGGTGAGGAAAACGAGGCCTGGACCACTTTTCACGACCTCCGACACTTCTGTATCTTGTTCCAAAGCGATGTGACCCAGTATGGAGAAGGTAACGCAACCGGCCAACAGACAAGTTAACGTGTTCACCACGCAAGTGATCAATGCGTCTCTGGAAAAGAGAAAAAATTAACAATTCTTGCGTAATTCACCCTAGAATCTCTAAAACAATGAGCATCTTTCACGAAACTCGTAAAGAGGACCAAATAAAATATTAAACTTCATAATGATATGAATTTTACTTTCACACTTTCATTGTATAATTTGTACATAAAGATTAATTCTATTACGTTATGACATCTCAAAAAAAATAATAATTATTACAAATGATATGATAACCCTAAATACTTTTCGTACAAAGTTCAACTATGTTTTATGTAACGAAACCAAGTGTCTGGATGCTTATGGACGGTAGTGTATATGCATACTAAATGTTCCTCTTCCTTCATTTTCCCATCTCAATCATCGTAATCTCATGCAGTGTTTGCTACTTACTTGTAGCAGTTATGGTGAAACTTATTGTACGATCCCAAAGCAGGCAGAGCTCCAGTACCGATACTGTAAGCGAAGAAAATTTGCGTGGCACCATCGATCCACGGTCCCGGTGACAGCAGCTGGTCCCATCTGGGCGTGATGTAGTATAGTAAACCGTCGTAGGAGCCGTCCAATGTCACCGCTCTTCCCAAAAGAATGAAAAGCACCACGTAGGGGAACAAGGCTGAAAACCAGATGATCTTACCGCTCTGATGAAGGCCACGTCGGATGATCAAGTAGACCAGCAGCCAGCCAAAGATTAGGCAACCAAACAGCTCCCACTGTACACCACCGATGCTTTCGATACCGGAACTGATCCCAAGAACTCTTCGTCTGCGATTTATTATATATACAATTGTTTTAGATCAATTTTATTTTTGTAACATTCAGTGAGAATTTAAGAAAGAATTTAAGAATTCGAAAAGTTTAAAAAATTGAGTACAGTATATAGATGTACTTACTCCCAATATTCTTCGACGGGTGTCGTATGATGCAAAGTAATATTACTAGTTGCATTTGTACTATTTGAATGAAATATGTCTCGGAAATGTTCATCGGAACCAGCAAAACAGTCTTTGGTGTTCCACCAATTGCCTGTAAAATTCGAAGTGTATGTAGTCAGCAGAAACTGATAATCAAATTCATTGATCTCTTTTTGCTGTTTCACTAACCACAACCTCTCCAGGGTACCCCATGTATATTCACAAATGTGCTTATGAGGTAGAAAAGTGTCCAAGCGATAATTATACAATAGTATACGTCTAGGAAAAATACGATCGTCATGGTAGCGTACCCAACACCTGAAAAAATAAAACAAATTACTTCTAATATTCTTCCATTTTCCATAAAGAATTTCATCCCATATTTTCAAAATCTATGATATGATACCAATCTTATGATCTCATACCAAATCTACTGGATATGAAATAATTTTATATCAATTTTACCTTGTAAAAGAGGACATAATTGTCCCACGAGCGTCATCCCTCCAGCACCAAGGTATTGTCCAATAGCCACTTCTTGGAAGAAAATTGGTATGCCACAAAACACCATAGCGATTCCGTAAGTAATGAGAAACACACCTGCAATTGTTCCATGAAAATTTAATCAGTCCACAGAACTCTCTGTACACGATATAGCTATCGATCGGTATCGTGTACTTTAATTAGTCGACATGGACGATGAAATTTGAATACATGATCATCCATGTACGTGACTATGCTCATGGTCAAAAATTAATAATCCTCGATAGTCGCAGCTGTCCCTCAATTTTGTACGGTTTCATCGAATCATTGATCAAACAGTTGGATCGTGGGAATTTGGGTGAAGGATTTCATGTTGAAATAATTGAATCTTCTCCGGATTCATGGAATTACGATTCCACGTAATTCGAAATTAGCGGTACTCGATAAAAAAACGAAAAAGAAATATAATAATGAAAAATATGAAATTATGCCCACTAGTAGCCGAACACTCTGTATGTACACATGTGTATATATGAATATTTAACAAATTACATTGTAATGTAACATTGAAATATAGTTTCCAATCGCGACAAATTGCAGAAAAGTGGATAAAATTGATTGGCTAATTTTTAGATGTAAAAGACGAGGAACAAATTTATTTTCCGAACGTTGAAATTAAAGTATATTTACCACCGCCATTTTTGTAACACAAATACGGAAATCTCCAGACGTTGCCCAATCCGACGGACACGCTGATGCAAGAGAACAGGAAGTCTAGTTTATTGTCCCATCCGCCTCGTTCCGCATCCTCTTCTCGGTTGCCGACTTCCGTTGCTCTACCTTGAGGCGAAGACACGGACATCTTTGGAACCGAACCAGAAGAGTAATCCTTCTTCCTGTCAGCTACCGACTTCGCTTTGAACTCTATAAAAGCTTGATCCGGATCCACGTGATCCTTTTCTTCTCCCCAGTAATACATCTTTTCCGCCATGTTTTCCTACAACCATAAGACCTTCCCTATGACCTTCAAGACCTTCGTAACTCGATCGATCATAATTAAGCTACGATTACGTAAAAGTGTCCTGCACGAAACGGAAGACCCTGCTAGGAAATGTGGCACGCAAAATGTTTGCGACATGCAAATAATGTGAAAGATTATTGAATAGGGAAGCTTCATCGTTTACATGCAAATTAATCAACGATTAGTCGATGTAATTAATTAAGGGCCATCACGAGGGATTTTAGTTCGGTTCGTTTGGAGTGTTTGAGGGATTTATTGATATAACGCGTGGAGATCTAATTAGAGATGATTTAACGTCTGATGGTATAACGTGTTACTGTATGCTATTACTCAGTTATTTTATTTACAAATTTAGAAATATTGACGTTCAACTTTTTCACGTTCTTAATATTTTAAATTTGCAGATTTTTTTGAAACTTGGAATTTAGAATTTTTCAAAATTTAAAAACTTAGAAATTTCAAGTTTTCAAGAAATTTGGTAATTTGAAGACTGAAAGTTAGAGATCTGAAAATTTCTAAATTAGTCAATTTTTAAATAAGAAATTTAAAATTGAAATATTTCTAAATTAGTAAATTTTAAAATTCCAAATCTCTGAACTTTGAAAGTTCGAGTTCTAAAAACAAATACATCTATGAATTTTCAGTACTCTAATTTTGAGACTAAAAGAAATTATAAATGACTGAAATTGAAGTTTAGTGCAATACAAGGTGAAATACCATTGGTTAACTGTGCAACCCCTTTATAAAATAAATAAACAATATAAGAAAGTACATTACCTGTTTCCTGGAAATTCAAGTTAATGAGCATTCGTGTTATCGTACAGAACGATGCTTATCAATAGATGAATAAATAAAGAACCTCTCATTCGCTGTTTACTGTCACGCGTTTCCCAGAATTGTAAATTGCAAAAGCAATGTCATATTCTCTGACCAATTTATCTCTTCCGACAAGACTAAATTTTTATTCATCCTTGTTTTAAAAATGGAAGCCTTTATGATCTTCTTTTACATCCTTTTTACGCGATCAGTGAAAATATCTAATATTTCACGCTGCATTAATTTTTACAAGCTACGGTAAAACGTTTTAAATAAAAAATTTTCTAACTTATAATATTACATCGACGAGATGCTTTTTTTTAAAAAATTGCAGCGAATTGGCCTGGTTTTTTAATTAAATAACAGCTTCGTGATAATCGGTCTTAATTGTTTAACGCCCCTGCGGAGATTGATAATTAAAATCGGTGAGCTGTGGAAACGTGTAATTACTCTTGTCCGATTATTTGCTCATCATCGTAGAAATATCGACGTAAAACATTTTGGCCTTGATCGAAATCGTTGAAAGCGTATTGCAAGTAAATAAGAGATTTAATTATCGTCGATCCGATTGCGTGCCACACACAATTACATCAGCAATGTGTACATAAAATTCACGGTTTCAATTACTGCCATTTTATAGTACCCATTATTTTAATTAATTCTTAATTACGAAGTCATTGTGCGCACGAAAAGAGTAATTTGAACTGGCCAGGTCAGAGGAGAAATGTATTTTACTTGATAGCTTGAAATTAATTAATTTTTCCACTTAACAGAGTTTATTCGAGTCCGGAACATTAAATAAAACAGTATTTAATAGAATTGTAGGATTAAACAACATAATTAAATTTCAAACGAAATTTAATACTGCAGAGTTTATTGTGTAGACAACCAGTGTCGAAATAAATAAAAGCTAAACTAAAAATTTTGTCAAATTATTTAAATACAAGATTATTTACGTGTAGTCTTAATTAAAAATATAAAAAACTTCTAACAAATTATTTACTCTGTTTTGTCCACAAAATTAGTACCAAAGATTTATCAAAAGCAACTGGTTTATCAAAAATACTATTAAAAAATAAATGCACTTAAAATAAGTAGTTCATAACGAACCCGTAGCTCATTACGAAGTTCTCGCGTATATTTACAAACAAAGTACACAATAGTACTTTTAAAAAATCCTTGAATAATAAAAAAATCAATATTTGGTCAAGACCGGTTTGAATGGCTCCAACTCTTTGTATAGGAAGGTCAAAGGGTGACTCTTACCCGAAAACCAGTCCTCTTTCTCTCAATGAAAAACTTCCCTGCAACCCTTCCGGCGCGATATATACACGCGTCCCGCTGCCCTTATTATCGCACATCCAATTCAGAAGCACACTTCGCGAGAAGGAGCAAAGCAGAACTGGTTAGAACGGAAAAGAAAGAGAAATGCGGAGCACGTGTCGGCTTCCTGGTACACGTGTGTTCGCTCGCGTACCTGTCTGTTTCCGATCTCCTATACATACACGTGTTAGTACGTGTACCTAACTTGGCCACACGCGTGTACGCACACATGTATTGCTTGTATACAAACACTGGTGCGCGCGCTACGGATGCTGAGCGTAAAATCAATAGTGTACTTTGTGTTACGTTACGGCGTACACGTGGACTAAATCGCCGCAATTTCTTTCTTCTATTACGTTTTCTTACGTTAACCGCTTTGGTAATTTGTTGACAATCAACTCCATGTATTTCGTTGTGAAAAAAAATATACTTAATGAAATACAACCTAAGTCATGAAGTATATTTTTATAACGGAAGTTGATGTATTAAGATTGTAGGACTTTTTTGTTTCAAGAGATAGAATTATAATGGACGTTACTAACCGGACTGTAGACTTCTTAAAATTGCCATTATATTAGGTGGACAAGTGTTACTGACTTTTAGTATTATAACTTTAGTCTTATGTCTTCAGTCTTTATGGATCTCTGTAGATGGTGAGACAACATGTGGTAACATACAAAATACAAAATACAATGCTTGGAACAACCAATAGAAATAAAACTCTTGGAAGTGCAACTTGTAGAAATAAAACTCATAGGAGTATAACTGGCAGAAATAAAACGCTTGGAAATACAATTTGTAGAAATACAACGTGTAGAAATTGAATACGTAGAAATAGAGTACATGGAAACAGTTCGTTGTAATATAATGGAAAATTGTATGTGTATCGTACAGTATTACACGTGGTGATAGAACGCGAAGCGATCTAAGACGTAGTAAAGCGTAGTAATCTTACGCGACAAGTATAACCTGTAACCATGCAACAGTGATGTACGTAGTAAAATAATCTGTGATAATACAAAGCTTGCCGATAGAACGTGTACAGAAATATAGTAGCAGTATACGAGTGGTAGTATACTAGTGGTAGTATATTAGTAAAGAACGTGAAAATTTAAAGGCGGCAATATAGCGAGAGTCATCTCTGTCTTTATGAACTGAGATGCATTTAAAGTGCACCATTCAATTAATAGTCACTAGAGTAAACAAGAACAGGTAAACAATAATAGTCGACGAAACGTGACACCGGTAGTAAAAATACCACGACAAAAATCACCTATGAATATCAAATCTCACCTTGCTAGTTGAGGTATGTCCGGATATTTTTCTGATTGTGCACGTGGTTCTTCAGATCAATCTTCAGGATTACACATCCGTAGAAGAATGACGAAATAGTGCGCTCACGCCCGATGATCGAGCGGCAAGAGGTGCCTCAGTCTCGATTCACCGAAAATTTCCAAAATCCCGTCAAAAACGTGTTGTGGAAACACCGACAGCACTTCCGGCTTGAATGATTCTGTATTGCGTGTCAGATTGTTGATAGCGGTATCACATCGACCTACCTCACAAGGGATGTCGTTACAAAATAATGCTCCGCATCAGGACTGGGAGTGTTACCCCTAGTGGACGCATGCGCTGCTAAGATCACCCCTTCCAGAGAACGAAACCAAATTATGCTAGGGGATGTAGGGACCTCGATGCTTTTTTGCTTCGGCATATAATCAACGCTAGGGTGGGTGGCGAGAACGGTGTCTCGTTGAATGATAGAATTCCGATGACGTGTGGCGACCCTGAGATTATGCGAACGAAAGGCCACAATTACCATTCCTAGTCTTTTCATCGATCGCTTCTAATTGGGAACGAGGAAGTGAAGAGTCCCGAGGAATTTTATTCTTCTTTTTTGTGATATACTCCCGCATGGCTATATTGCGCAATTACATTGGTATAGCGATGTGACATCGCTTAGCGAAATGTGTTGTTATTTGATACGTTGGGATTTCGTATACTACCAACAATTACGTGAAATGACACGCGAAGATTTGACGCGTTGAGAATTGACACAATGTGAAATGACGCGTGGCGATATGATGCGAAACTGCGCATTGCGATTTGGCGCACGATTACACAACATGTTGTAATACGCGGCGATATTACACGCTGCAATATGGCGCGTGACGATATGACGCGTTCAGATTTTACATGGTATGAAGTGGCGCATGGCGTTGTAAAATAGTTGCGCCATGGAGCACGGTGATATAGCATGAGCAATATGGCGATCGGCGATATAATACGCTGCAATATAGAGCGCGATAATATGTTGAAAGTTTGGACGCTATAAAATGGCAAGCGATGTTATGATACGCTACAGAACGATCGCTATTTGGCACACAGTGACATATACGCTGCAGTATAGCAAGTGACGATATGATACTAATAAGAGACTACGGAATACCGAATGAAATTTTGAATCACACGTCTGGAAAAATACGCAAGAGTATAATTGTTAGAGTACAATACAATATTTAAGATACAGTATAATATAATAATCTATAATATATCTAGATTGTTCTACCTATATTCTTGAACCTACGTTCCAGCACAGACAGTCAAGATAATGTCCTATCTACACGTTTTCATAAAACCTTGAAATTTAATCGTACCATTTAAAACGCTCATCAATTATCCATATTTAGTGTATAATTTTGCACATGCTACATTTCTGTCCGCGTTAAACGATGCCCGATTTCCCAACGTTTTCAACTTTACCCAACAATTTTTCCTTTCCGTGACTCTAATAATTCTCTCTAACGTCTTCGAACTTTGAAATCAATTGTCCCCGTATCTTTCATCGTGCACCCGTCTACGTGTACACGGATTAAAAATACCCGTGTACAGCGGTCACCCAATCGTATCTGTTAATCGATGCACCGTTTCGCAGAAGTATCTGTTCGTCAAGGTTATTCCGTCTTCGACAATTCGTCGAAACGCGTTCGAACACGCGATATTGTCATAAACGCGATATCTGAGCTATCCGTCATTAATCGCGAAAGTCGCGTGTTAAAGTTTTCAGACCGTTCAACGATGACTCAGAAAACCGACCGAATAGAAACCGAAAAGAAAATCGCGTCCCCGCTGTTGAAACAGCATCGTTCAGCGTTCGCTTCGCGTGTTCCTCAGCAGCCGCTCGATTGGTCGCTCGAATTGCTCGGTATCACAGTGTGACAGCCACGTTTGTGTCGCAATTGTCTAATGGCCGGCTCGTCGGAGTCGTTCATGTCGTTCACCACCGCCACCGTGTGCATCGACTTCATCGACACCTTCTTCTGGGCGTCTTTGTAACCGGAGAAAGTTGGCCTCGGCAACCAGTTCGTCCCGTAGGATATTGGGTGCACCTCTTGTGGTTGATGAATTATCTCGCTGGACAGCTCTGATCGACATTCGTCGCATATGGAACTCGCCTCGCTGTCGTTCCGCGTTGCACTCTTCAGTTTTAGTGCTTCCTCTTCCGCCCATTGCGATTGCGATAGCGTTCTAAATTCGATACGAAATATATGGGCGTAAGATAAGTTTTATACAAGGAAGATGGTTCGGGAGGATTCACGTAACGGTAGACTAAATTGAGAATGATCTAAAGATCCTCACGATTTTTGTGGAACCAGTAAAAAAATATTGCAACAGAGATTGATTGAAGTTTAGCAATTTTCGGGTAGCTACAAATAGCAACAATTTTCTGTTAAACCACCCAGATCACCTTGGACATTTTCGCATTTCTTTAAATAGCACTAATTTTGATCATGTAACATTGTAAATGATCACGAAACAAATTAGTATAGTGTGACCTTGAGTTACCTTTAAACTAAATCGTAGATCTTTAATCACAATAATTGTGATAATGTAATCGTTATTCAAATGCGTTAGAAAATCTACACTGATATGATCTTGAAGCGACCTCTGACTCCCTGGATATTAAATATGAATTTTATATCTTATTGCACGAAAGCTGTTAACACGAATAGATTCATTGCAGAATTTCTATCCAAATTGTGTATTAAATATTTTTAATTTTACGACTATTAAAGCAGATATTTTGATGATTAAAGAGGGTCGTCCTGTAGAAGGAAAATTTGATATGTCGTTGCGAATTACACGTAACGACAAACTAATCAATACTTAAAAGGTCAGATTATATCGAAAGGCACTATAATATATGCTGTATTATATATACATTGTAATTGGCAACGTTGAAATTACGTATGAAAGTTTCAGTATTTTCTAAAGTAAAACTCAGAGATTACAGTTAAATGTCTAGTATGTGAAAGTAGAATAAACGGATGTCTTATTGTTAGAAAAATACAATAGCAACCTTCTTAAATAAGAGTTCGTGGAGCACTTCATCGATACGACCATCTCCTTTAATCCAGCTAAAGAATCCAATATAAAATTCCACACTCTGTTCGAAGAAATTGCACATCCCAAAGTGGTAGTTGCGATTAACATAGAGATGACCCAGCTGATGAACCCAGCCGACATGACAGGCGGTTGTAACGGTGAAGGATAATACGACGACCAAATTCGTTGCCACCATTGATAAGAAACATCTCGATACTCGGACTCCTGTGAAAATTGCAATTTTTTTCACAATCCGTTCAAGAATTAATTATAAAACCTTCATAATCGTACTATCGAATGTCGTTTAAAATACTCACATAACTCCAAAATGTCCAGACACAACAATAAAGTAGCCTCTGAAGGATCAGCCAAAGCCATAGAACGGTAACTACGACCACCCAGCTAACTAAAACCTTCGCAAACACAGACACAGACTTAATAACGCATAAACATCGCTAAGCACGAAACTTGAGTACTTGAAGAGCCTTGTAGAGAAGCGTCGAGGTCGTCGCGTGGGCCACGCTATTGCAGGAGGGTGGATTTCTCCACAGAACCATCGCGACCGAGGTCAGGATTAAGAAAGAAGGCAGAGTGTGGATGAAGTCGGGTCCGACGGTGATCTTCGCATACTCTCGAAAGACCTTGTGCTGGAGAAACAGGATCTCGTGGGGTACACACAGCAGAGTCAGAAACTGCGAATACAGGCCGACCAGACAGGACATCACTTTGGAGGCTGTGCACCAGCCTGATTCCTGCCAATTCGTTCACGACAGCATCGAGCTTTTTCGCCAATGACGGTTATATGGTTGAGCCGACATTCGAGGAACTTGACGTTGCTGTCGAAATGAACAGCGTCACCTTTCTTTGTTTGCTTGCCGTCTTTAGAGGAATTTAATAATTTAGGATACAAAAATTTGAAAATTGACAAAGTTTGAAACTTGATAGCTTGGAAATCTGAATCGGAGAAAATGAAATGAACATGTATCAGTACAAAAACATTTATTCGTAAGAGAAGAAGAAGAAGATAAACAAATAGTATATTTATCGAGCCGTGTTAATATCCTAAAAATTGTCGAATACCCAGATCAATTGAAACTGACAGAAGCATTAGAGTAATACAACAAGCGTTTTCTTTATTTAATAAGAAATAAAAATAAAATATATAAAGTCTTTTTCCCAGTCGTCTAAAAGTACACGCTTCCACTTTACGTCTATTTACAACTATATACATTTCGATTCTTAACCAATTAGCAGTCTATATTAGAAAATAGTCAGGTCCGACGAAAGATCCACACTTGGGGAAGTCCTGTGGAGCGGAAGCCATGTCGCTGTTTTCACCGACCTGAAGAATCACGTCCAAACCGCGAGTCCAATAAGGGGAATGTTCATCTCGTAGCATCCAGTAACCTGAATAATTAGCAGAAACGTTGAAATTATTCTGATACTCAGGTCTGGATTAAATAATATTGGTACGCAGATGATAACCAAGATTAATTGTCTTTCATTTTCATTTACAATTTAACTAATAAAAGGACAAAGATAGAAGACTCAAATTAACTCGGTGAAAGGTATTTGTTATTTTACCTGGATTGTTAGCTTTGAATCGAATGGCGACAGCACCAAATTTGGGTACGACGACGGTATCTTTGGCCACCGTGCAATCAAGATTCCGAGTGAACAGTTGTCCTTTGTCGTCCAAGCTCTTCAACTCTTGCAAGGACACGCTTCGATCGAATTTCCTTGCTCCGACTATGTAAAAATTGTATCCGTGTAGATGGTAAACCAGATCGTCAAGACCACCTTAAACACGAAATAAGATATTCGAACAAATTGAAATAGATTCGAAGAACTGAAGTTGTCTTGTAGTTCTGCAAAGCGATGCATTAACTTCGCAATATTTATGATAAAGAAATTTAAGCTACAAGTTCACGGAAAAACTCGGAGAGGAAACGACGATCAATATTTCCAGCCTCCGCAACTAACAGCAATGTGGATCAAGGTTCTTAATTCAAGGCTACGACTCCTACGAATTCACCCCCTTTTTATTTTCTTCGAATGTTTGCAAGATATTTCGCAACGATATCGATTGCAACTTTCTGCAGTACTTTTTCACGAATGTAATCGAAATGTAGGTTAATTGGGAGCGATGTTTATCCCGACTATTACACGTTCTCCGATGAATGGAAGTTCATCAGGGATGTTTGAATTCAGTCGCGTTCTCTTTGACGATCACCGATACAGGATGTGAAAACGCGTGTTGCGAATTACGCGAGCATATTTACCGCCATGTTAATTGGAAATCTAATTTCACGTCCCGTTTCGTTGGGATACTCATGTATTACGCGTACGAGTCAATACTTGTCTCCTGAGGAAATTAAAGTGTCATCGTTGCTGCGCAATTCGAATACGTTTGAAGATCGAAAAGTTATAGGAAAGTGTATTGCACTAATAGAAATTATTCAAATTTTTTTTTGTTGGGACTTTAAACAATTCAACTTAATAGTGAGTTAAGGCAGAGTTGAAGTTTAAATAAAAATAAATCAATTTTTGTCATGAAATTATTAAGGTTCTTCAGTTTGGGAATTAGGAAATTTAAGAATTGGAACCTTGAGAGTTGGAAAATTTGAGAATTTGGAAATTTGAGAATTGGAACCGTGAGAGTTGGAAAATTTGAGAATTTGGAAATATGAGAATTGGAACCTTTAGAGTTGGAAAATTTGAAAATTTGAAAATTTGAGAATTGAAACCTTTAGAGTTGGAAAATTTGAGAATTGAAACCTTTAGAGTTGGAAAATTTGAGAATTGAAACCTTGAGAGTTGGAAAATTTGAGAATTGGAACCTTGAGAGTTGGAAAATTTGAGAATTGAAACCTTTAGAGTTGGAAAATTTGAGAATTGAAACCTTTAGAGTTGGAAAATTTGAGAATTGAAACCTTTAGAGTTGGAAAATTTGAGAATTGGAACCTTGAGAGTTGGAAAATTTGAGAATTGGAACCTGGAGAGTTGGAAAATATGCCAATTAAAAAATTTGAAAATTGGAACCTTGAGCGTTGGAAAATGTAAGAGTTTGAATTTGGTAAAAAACAACATAGTTTCTACATCCACTACCTTGACTAAAGCAAAATTCGCATTGCAATAATTTTACATTTTATCGTCAATCGCTATATCCAAAGTTTATTACCTTGATCAAGTAAAATGATTTCGACAGTCGAATCCAGTGGTATATATCTCACGTGAACACACTCGCACGTATCAGAAATAATACCATCACCGTGCTGGCATCGTGGGGACAGTGTCGTAGTTTCGTTATTTTCATTGCGAACGTCTTCGTCATCGGACGAAAAAGAGCACAAACTTTCTTCGGCAATGTCGACGCCTTGAGTCAACAAGGGCGATGATGGATACGTGAACGTAACGTTATTAACGTTCAAAATCCTCGTCTCTGCTCCATTAACTGAAATCAAAAACATGAAAGCGTCTTTATGAGACACATTCCTTGTATCATTACTGTTATTTTTATTATTAATATTACTGATGTGATACCTTCGTTAAATTTCATTGGAAATTTTATGAAAGAGACACTTGACCTACATACTTTTATTTTCAATTTTAGTGTGATTTTACTAGATTTCAGAAATTTTACAAAAGACATTCAATATCGAATCAACATAAATGTTACTACCTTTCGACAACACAATAAAGTATTACATTAAAGAATAAAATAATAAACAAGTTAGATGTCACAAATCACCCCTAACGGGCCAGGTTCACGAAATGATTATCTGCTTCCGTATTTTCCGCACGGTTGATTCTTCCACATATCGGTCACTTACCCACGAAGTCATTTGCCTGGAACTTGTAATTAATAGGCAAGCGGATAGTGACATCGGTTCTGGGTTTAGCGAGGACGCTGGGGATCTTCCGCAAAGCTTGTATCTCCGTCACGCATAGACTCTCCGGGTTTTCACATTTTTCCGCGGGATTGGTCGTCATTGTTACCCGGCTCGTCTCTTCAATTTCCGGATCATTAATTGCTTCCGTCGATGATAATGGACTTTCCATCGTGCTTCCCTTATAGCTCAAAATCGCGGCTCCGTTTATGGGACTCGTTCCACATTCCTTCGACGTGTGTACGTGCATCCAGTAGGAAGCGACACGTTTGTTCGCTTTTAGAACGATGTCGGCTCTTTCGCCTGTGGAATAAAGTGAAATTCTATAGATTCAGTTGTTGGAAATTTAGGAATTTGGAGATTTAAGGATATGGGGATTTAGGGATTCAGAGATTTGGGAATTGGGAAGTTTGGAATTTGGGGATTTAGGAATTAGGGGGTTTGGAATTTGGAGATTTAGAAGTCTGGAGATTTAGGAGTTTGGAGATTTGGAGATTTTTGAATTTAGGGGTTTAGAGTTTGGAAGTTTGGAGATTTTGGAGTTTGGGGATTTAGAATTTGGAGATTTAGGGATTTGGGGGTTTGGAATTTGGAGATTTGGGAGTTTGGGGGTTTGGACGTTGGAAATTTGGAGATTTGGGAGTTTGGGGGTTTGGAGGTTGGAAATTTGGAGATTTGGTGGTTTTGGAATTTGGGGGTTTCGAGTTTAGATGTTTGGAAATTGGGAGATTTTGAAATTTGGGGATTTGGAATTTGGAGATTTAGGGATTTGAGGGTTTGGAATTTGGGGATTTGGAAATTTGGAGTTTGGAGGTTTGGAATTTGGAGATTTGGAAATTTGGAAATTTGGAAGTTTAGGAATTTGGGAATTTGAGAATTGGGGGATTTCGAGTTTGCAAATCTAGAGATTTGGAGATTTGGAAAATTGAAGATTTGGGAATTTAGAGATTTGGGGGTGTGGAATTTGGAGATTTGAGTTTTTAACCATTTAGCAATTTCAGCTTGTAAAAATTTGAAAACTTGAACATTTGAGAATTTGAGAATTTAGATACTTGACAGTTTCGAAATTTGAAATTTACAAATTTTTAAGTTCCAAAATTCACAAGTTTAGAACACGAAGTCAAATCCTCGGAACTAAAAAACTTGAGAAGTTGAAAATCTGATATTCTGACCCAAATGAACATCTAATTTCCAAATAACACCAGAAAATATTCAAGTTTAACGAAACGTAAAACTCGAAAATTCCTACATCAATCTAAATTATCAAATCGATAAATTCGTAAATCCTGCAACTTGCATCCTCAATCCATCAGCATACGATTAGACTCACCTTTCGCCAGAGTAATCGATGTAACTTGTCGCGGTTCCACTGGCTGACCATCTAGGGCAATCAGCAGCATAGGATGGGCATCGACGGAAATGGTTATTGGACATGATCCAGCACCACCAGCATTCGCAATACGGAATCTATGACGACGTCCTGGAACAACCGTGAACGTTGTATAGGGCACATTTGGCCCATTTGGTTGACGTCCCCTGCCATTGATCAAAAGAATCGCTGGTTTCGCGTGGCCTTCGGTGAACGTGATTTCTGCAGAATGTTGCCACTGGCTAACCAATACTACGTGATTCGAGTCGTCGATGTCGTACAAAGACCGATGCGGGTCTTTTATGTCCGCCTGTTTCACGATTAGTGCGCCAAAAATTCCGTTGGTGACGTCGGCACCTGGAAAACGATGTGATTGTCAGATTATGGTTTGGAATGTTGACCTACATTTTACATATGTGTTAACCAAATCCTTGAATCCCTAAATTTCCAAATGTTCAAATTCTAAACCTACAAATTCCTGCATCTCAAAATTATAAACCTCCCGATTCCTAAGTATTCAAATATCAAAATTTCCAAAGCCACAAATCTTTAAATCTCTAAATCTCCATATTCTAAACATTCAAATTTCAACATTTCTAAATTCCCAAACTACCAAATTCTACACCCTCAAATTCCTAAACTTCCAAATTCCAAAATCTCCAAATTCCCAACTTCCAAATTCCCAAACTTCCAAATTCTAAACCACCAAATTCCAAAATTTCCAAATTTCCAAATCTCCAGATTCTAAACCCCCAAATTCCCAAACTTCCAAATTCTAAACCCCCAAATTCCAAAATCTCCAAATTCCCAAATTTCCAAATTCTAAACCCCCAAATTCCAAAATCTCCAGATTCTAAACCCCCAAATTCCCAAACTTCCAAATTCTAAACCCCCAAATTCCCAAACTTCCAAATTTATAACCCCCAAAATTCCAAAATCTCCAAATTCCCAAACTTCCAAATTCTAAACCCCCAAATTCCAAAATCTCCAGATTCTAAATCCCCAAATTCTCAAACATCCAAATTCTAAACCCCGAAATTCTCAAACATCCAAATTTTAAACCCCCAAATTCCAAAATCTCCAAATTTCCAAATCTCCAGATTCTAAACCCCCAAATTCCCAAACTTCCAAATTCTTAAATCTTCAAATCCTCTACCCACTAGTTCCTAAATTTCTAAATCCACAAACAGGCCTTAACAGACACGCTTTTTCCTCGATAATAGATGCAACGTTCTTCGAATTCACTTGTTAGCGATTTTTGTTCGCTCTCTCATTCTGAAGAACGAAGCAAATCAAAAACAAAAAGCGTCGGTGATTCTCCTGTCTCTTAGACAGGACTTGACCTAGACAGGATCCGACATCTAAATTCTCTTGAGATATTTTCTTTTCTATTTGATGATTTATGGTGTGGTACCTTTCACCGATTGCGAATCGTCTGAGTGATTATTAAGTGAAATCCAATTAGAGCAAGTTGACGTTAACATAATGTCGCAGTGATATTATTTATCGAATCTTGTTAATGAAAATAATTGACTCAATTTTTAATATAGTATAATTAGAGTATTAGTGATTTAACTGATGGTGACGATGTAAAAGTAACGTATGTGTTTGACGTATTCATTGCTGAGTCTCATAGCAGTCAAGTGTTAATTATTGCACCGTTTGAACTTTCCGCAAATTCTAAAATATCTAATGTTTACTTATTTCATTTTCAATAGCAAGGTGTTAAGAGAGTTAGAAAGTGTGTTATTTGTATTGTAACTTGCTAATTATGTAACCTTATTCTTTTTATCATTTCTGGGTGGCTTCAACGTATAATATTGGCTTAACACTAAACCTACCGGCATACAATGCGTACTTAATTTGAAATTAAAAATGAAGTTAAAAATTAAATAAACAAACGATGAAACATAAATTAGTACACACATTTATTCTTTATCTTGATGAAAATCAATTCTGATTTGAAGAAATGTACTTCAACAAAATGTATACCTTTTAAGAAGAAACTTGTGGAGCGGTCATTTGACCGGCTTGGTAGTTTTAGTGTTAAATATATGTTCTCTTTTAATCGACTGAAATACTGCAGAATTAATCTTCAAATCCAATGTGTAGTATTACAAAATGCTGCTGTCTCAAGTACTTGTTATAATTTAGTATATGATTAAACGTATCAAGGTTTGATTACATGTTCATATGAAGAATTTGTTACTTTTGCAACACACAATTCTGTTGCATAAAATTATAATAATTTCTCATGTCTACGTCTCAATCTTCCTTGGTCTTCCATTGTACACAAGTAACAATGGAGTAACAGAAATAAATTATTAGAAAGAAATATTTGTGAACGTCGTATGTTCTTGAAAAATATTACATATTCATGAAGTATTCGTTGCTCTTGTAAAATGTTATACTTTGTAAAGTTATGGTAATTCCTTGCGTCATTTACATTTCAAGCTTTCTTTTTCTATCCACCACACAAAAAAGAATAGTAATAGAGATAAACGTTGACAATTGCAAATGTCTCATAACCATCATCAGCATGCCAAAGCTGAGTTTTTATCCTTTTCCTTTTGTCCACCACGCAAATAAGAATAAAAGTAATAGAGATAATCCTGAACAATTGCAAATGTCACATTACCAGCATGAGCATGCCAAAGGTGAGTCCCAGCCACGGATGCACGAAACTTATACTGGAAAGTAGTATAGCTCGGTATGGGACACTGAGTGATGAGAGGTGCACCGTCCATAAACGGTGACTCGACCTGCGATTGACCCCGCCAATGCATTGCAGCTGCTTTACCCGGAAGTCGGTTTATTACGTCGATCACCAAGATGTCGTTTTCACAAACCTGCAAAGAAAACCTGTTTCTGAACTATTACATAGGTACATTGCTGAAACAAATATTGCTAACTGCGGTAACTTGTTCTGTGGACGTTTTGTTTTCTTAGGGTACGTTATCTATGTGTGCCAAACATGTTGCAGTAAAAGGAGTTTGTTTCTTTACAACGTAAAGTCCGAAAGCCATTAACGGTTATCGTCTACTATTTCAGATAAGAGTTTCTACAGTGTACTGAGTGCACTTAGGTAGAGTCGTTTGTAGCTGCTAAGTACTAACCTGTAATCTACTGATTTTAAATGAAGTCTCATTCTCACTTTTGTTAGATATGTTTGGTAGATTGCATAAATTTAGATTTTTGAGTTTGGGAGCTGGAGGAGTTGACATTTTTATATTTTAGAGTTATTTTATCGTTCTTTATATTTGGGTTCTATATTTTTGGATTCGAAGTTCCAAATTTTTGGGATTATTAAAGTTTTAAGTGTTGTTTGAAATTTGGGCATTTGGGGGATGGAAAATTTGGAAATTGGAGAGCTGGAAAATTTGGGAATAGGAAATTTCAGAGTTGGACAATTTGAGGATTGGACTATTTGGGAATTGGAAAATTTAAGATTTGGAACTTCGAAAGTTGGAAAATTTGGGAATTTGGAAATTTGAGAATTGGAACCTTGAGAGTTGGGAAATTTGAGAGTAGGAAAATTTGAGGATTGGACTATTTGGGAATTGGAAAATTTAAGATTTGGAACTTTGAAAGTTGGAAAATTTGGGAATTTGGAAATTTGAGAATTGGGAAATTTGAGAGTTGGGAAATTTGAAGTAGGAAAATTTGAGGATTGGACTATTTGGGAATTGGAAAATTTAAGATTTGGAACTTTGAAAGTTGGAAAATTTGGGAATTTGGAAATTTGAGAATTGGGAAATTTGAGAGTTGGGAAATTTGAGAATCGGAACCTCAAGAGTTGGAAAATTTGAGAATTGGAACCTCGAGAGTTGGGAAATTTGAGAATTAGAACCTTGAGAGTTGGAAAATTTGGAAATTGGAACCTCGAGAGTTGGAAAATTTGAGAACTGGAACCTTGAGAGTTGGAAAATTTGAGAATTGGAACCTTGAGAGTTTAAAATTTGAGAATTCTAAACTTGAAAATTCGAAAATTTACAAACTCGAAAATCTTGGCACCTAAAACCTTGACCATCCAGAAACTTGAGACAAAAAATTTAGAAATTCGAGACTCGAAAAATGACAAAACTTGAAGCTTTAATACTCGAAAAATTGAAAAATATGAATGTTTAAGTTTCCACCTCAATCTCCCTATATCCTCTTAAAACTGTAAGCACATTATCCGTCAGCTGTTCAACGGCACCTAATGCGCTCATCATCTGCGAAGATAACATTACCTGTATAGTAGGTCCAGGTAGCTGACGGTTAGCTGTTAGGATTCCTCGTCTCTGTCCATCCGCGGTTATGCAATGATTATGCAAACACGCCGTCTGATTCTGCGGGCAATCACCGCATGATCTATCCACAAGAATGAATGGGAAAAATTACAAGCGAAGAACCCTCGTTGATATTAAACGCGAATTAAATCACTCTATCGCGAACAGTCATTTCCGTGTTTCAGCGGGTCAAGAAATTGCATAACGGTTATTTACGCTTACTCGACCGATAGTAATACCTAAATCGTTGCGTTTTTTAATACGCATTACTAAACTTGATGCAATCTATCTTTTTATAATTATACGTACTTGCTGAGCGACTGGAACACTTCCAGTGTGAGTTTTAGCCGACAAATCATAGGCCAGTCCAGATGATGGCATGGTCGATCGCAGGAGAGAAATATTTGTTCTGTGAAAGAAGAAAATTTTTCTTAGTTTCAACGTTTCATGAAATGGATACATTGAGGAAACTGTGCTAACCAAGAGTTCTGGTTAACGGTTAAGTAATTATTAGCTTATGGATGTTTATGTATTCGTGATATATAAAAGTCTGCACAGAGATGTACATGTTGCGTGATTTGTTCATAAGTGACGTTTATAATTGATCAAATTTTATTTATCATAAATGTATAATCATCCGCAGTAATTGTATACAAGATGTACCTCCTTATGACCTTGATGAATGTTACAAAAATTAATGTAGTATAATTGTACAATAGTAATAATATATGTAACAAGACACGTGACGAAACAAAACGTGACCACATATCGCATAACGCGTAACGTCTAACCGATAATGATCCAATCTGTAGTACTCTGACGTGGTGATATAATGCATAGTAATGCGTGACGAAATAACGCGTAGCGGTACAACAGGTAGTGATCTAATTCATAACGATACAGCAGCGTAACAAATAGTGATCTAATACGTGATAATAAAACGCGCAGAAATATAACAGAAATTGATCTACATGACGATGCAACTCGTAGTAATATAACAGGTAATTCATAATGCCTAGAAGCGTAAAATATTGATTTACATGATAAAATATGTAGCGATGTAACAGGTAGTGATCTAACGTGACAACGCGATGTAACGCGAGATAGAACGTACAGTAAAAAGAACAAGTTTTTTTGTGCAGTATTGCTTTAATATGTAATGTGTAATAAATTAAAAGTAATAGATATATACAGGGTGTTTCACAACTAATGTTAGTCCCTGAAATAGATTATATTATAGTTAGTCCCTGAAATAGTAGACGTGATTCTGAATAAGATTTCCCTTTGCAAAAATGGGATTTGAAGCTCCGTTTTTGAATTATTAAGGAAAAACGCGGACCAATCAGAACGCAAGGATTACGCCCACTCAGCCATTATGCTCGAAGGTGTCGCTCTCGCTGCGCACGCGTAATCCTCGCGCTCCGATTGGTCCGCGTTTCAGCTGCCCCCCATTTCAAGGACCTACGCTAGCTCTGAGACGCCCTGTATAATAAAACTAATAGAAGTCGAATATACTGAAAATTAAAATCTTCGATGTATCTAAAAGAAGGTAAACCTTGCTGTATACAATTACTAAAGATTACAGTCGATGGTAAACTTACTGGGCCTGTAATTATTAACATGTAAAAATGTCGCCGCAGCCGCGATCACACAGACGACGACGAGAAACCGCAGACCGTAGGTGACAAGTGTCATGGCGCAGTGTGAGCTCTTGATGGATCGCATTGCCTACCGTGTTTGTTATACAAAGATAACAAATGGAGACTGCATTCCGATAATACGTATGCGAGGAATCTCGGAAAATCTCCGAAGCAACGTTCAGTTGCTGAGACTTCCGAGAGTCATTGATCTCTATCCTCTGTGTCGTCAACGAAACAGAAAAGTTAGCTAAAATGATTAAGGGCAGCGGGGATAGAAAGCTATTCGTGAATAATGGGAACGACTTATGGCCATTTAAACGAGGATGATAAATCGATACGCGTGGAAGAAGCGTGATGTCAGCGGGGTGAAAGTTAATTTCGAGATGAGGACAAAAAAGCGAAAGGAATAATCATCGATTCGAACAAAGATGAAAGTCACGACTGTGCAACATCGATGTTGTTGACTCGACGTGTAAACAGATGTTGATAAAAATAATTTCACTATAATCCCACATTATTAGGCTACTGGTAGATTTCCTATGCTCGATTTCGACACGGAGAAAGTCTGACACGCTTTGGTGAGATGAAATGTGTTATAAAATGCCTCTTATGATATATAGGTTTATGCCTCCGCCCGTTTTTGTAGATGCTTGATATTTTTAACTTGTCAAAGGCGGAAGAAAAATGTAATGTAAGAAACAGATTCTCTCCTCAAGAGATTGTACGGGGGAGAAAAAGTTTGATGTAAATAATTCGGAACGATCGTGCAAAGAAACTTTTCATCGGGGTACAAAAATGTGACGGAAGAAAAGGAGAAGTCAGACAAGCTTCCGTGATTTAAACAAAAATTACCTTAAATGTTTTCAAGCTTGCGGGACCTAAATAAAGATATAGTGAACAATTATTAAGAACAAGATTTAATAATATGAGACTAAAAAGAAGATGTAAATGAAAATATACACAAATAAATCATGATTCTTAACAGGTTATTATAGTACAAAATTGCTAGTTGCAACATTCTAGCACACAGGTACCTCAAAATAGCACATTTGAAGCTCAAAGTTTGATGAAAATGATTATATATAATTAAAGATGTTCGATATTCTAAACCTACAAATACCTCTGATCTATTCAATGTTATATGTTGGTTACTGTAATACGCACATGTGGCTTTCACCTTTTTCCATGAAGAACAAGTTTTTTTAAACGCTAAATGATTTTACTATTTCACTTGTAAATAACTATTATCGTGAAAGTATGAAGGCAAACTCAGAAATTAAATTAGCAAAACAAGATCACTCAAAAATACAAGGTTAATGCTTGGAATTCTAAACTTATCACCGACGATTAGCTACATGAAGATGTTTACACTTGCTCTAAGAAAAACGTTCGCTTGGTATTCGAGTCAGTTTGCACGATTACCCCATAGAAAAGAAAGGCAACATTTAACACGGTGGAAAAAGAGAAATTTCTGAGCAACCGGTTGCCTCGATACAATGCGTGACGTAATTCAAAGAGCTCTCATCGACATTTTCCTGGCAATGCCTTCAATCGGATAGCGGTGCACCCTGTTAAATAATCTCAGGGTGACGCACGAAAATCATCTAATACTTCTCCATCGAATCAGTGCATTATCATTACGTAAAAACTTGCATAATCTTGACGTAATTTATCTGGGATAGCGTGACCGGATCACGTGTCGAGCCCCAGGATTATATCTGCCACCGAAGTCACGACAATCCGGAGCAACTTTAATCAAATCCGGTGCTAATCATAATTAACACTGTGACACTTCGGTAGTACGATTACCGTATTGCACTCGTAAAATAACTGCTATCTCAAGGAAAACGAATTTCAAAACCGATCACATTTTTAATGATTGTATTCTTAGTACATCCAACACAGCAACTCCGAACTCGACATCTCGTATGAAATTTCAACGCTCACAAAAATAGGAAATACTTCGATGACCATTTCGAGTTAGATTTACATACGCGCAAAGAAAATGGAAATGGAACGAGAAAGATCTGAGGACCCGGAAGAAAGTAAAAGGAAGAAGCGACAGAGTAAACGATGATAAAGAAGCGCCGTGATGATTGCGTCACGTTCGTTCGAACCTGAAGGCGGCACACGTAACTCGTAAATACCGTTTCGCTTTCTCGTGAACAACTGACCAGCCGAATTTCGTTTTCAGGATCGAAACTGTCTTCTCTCCCTTTCCCTTTCTCCTGCATGTTCTTTCCTCCTGCGGAACGCGAGACACCTCCTGGTTACCTCCAATAGGTCACCGACGACCACCATTCAAATCTTTTTCTTTCGCGAGCCTCATTTGGCTGTGTGGAAAGGAAGTGATCCAATTTTTGCGATGTTCGTTTTGCTCGAGTGAAAGGAACCGAGTTGGAAAGTACTTTGGGCAGGTGACAATTTGGAAATTTTGATACTTTGGTACTTGGGTTGGGGATATGACGATTCGAGGAGTACGGCGGGGGTTTGGGTTTTTGAACATTGGAGGTTTGGGAGGTAGGTAGGAATTTGTGGAGTTTGGGATTTTTGGAGGTTAGGAAGTTTGGGGTTCTGGGAATTTAGAGATTTGGAAGTGGGAGAATTTGGGGAATTGTGAGATTTGGGAGTTCGAGAATTTGGGGATTTGGAAATTTGGAAATTTGAAAATTTGGGAATTGTGAGATTTGGGAGTTCGAGAATTTGGAAATTTGCAAATTTGGGAATTTGGAGATTTGGAAACTTGAGAATTTGGCAATTGGGAGATTTGGAAATTTAGAAATTTGGGAGTTCGAGAATTTGGAAATTTGCAAATTTGGGAATTTGGAGATTTGGAAACTTGAGAATTTGGGAATTGGAAGATTTTAGAATTTAGAGATTTGGGAGTTCGAGAATTTGGAAATTTGGAGATTTGGAAACTTGAGATTTTGGGAATTGGGAAATTTGGAAATTTAGAGATTTGGGAGTTCGAGAATTTGGGAATTTGGAGATTTGGAAACTTAAGAATTTGGAAATTTAGAGATTTGGTAATTTGAGAACATGGGAATTTAGAGATTGGAAGTTCGAGAATTTGGAAATCTGAGTACTTGGGAATTTAGAGATCTGGGGATCAGAAGTTTGGAAATTTAAGTATTTAGAAATTTAGAAATATAAGAATTTGGGAATTTGGAAATTTAAAAATATGAAAACTTGAGGATTTCAAAATTTGAAAATTTAGAGATCTGAAGCTTGAATTTAGAGATTTGAAATTCGGAATTTAAGTTATACATTTACAAATGCAAGAATTTGCAAATTTGCCTATTTAAAGACTCGAAAATTTGGAAATTTGCGGGTCGAAAAACCTGAGACTTTGAGATTTAAATATAATAAAATTTGAAAATTTCAAAGTTCTAAAATGTACATAGTCTTTCACAAGTACTCAGCGATTTTACTGAAATAAGATTGGAAATCTTGCTAACGAACAATTTGTATCTATCTACCGCCTTTCTATTGATCAAAGATACCGAACGATTTCAGTTCAATAAATTATAGACAACAACTTAATTTTCAGCAAATTCTCGAAGAAAATTTAAATCGCGTGATCTGGCATAATTAAATCTTGTATAATATATGTTCCGTACTGTTGAACGAAGGAAATAGGGTGCAAGCTCGGGCAAGAAACATTATTTATTCTTTTACGAACGTATGAGCAGAAGAACTCGTAAATTTTTCTTTTCAAAGAACATCGTTTCCGTGAAATAATGATCGGAAAGCCTCGTGAATGAAACAA